TTGCGCACGGTTACCCGGTAGGCTCTTGGGGCCGTGTTTTCATCCTGACCTTTCCACTCTCTGCCTGGAGAGACAAAGTTGCACGCTGAGGACTTTGCCCCTTTTGGCTGCAACTACCAATGCCGTGCTTCACCTCTGCGAGCGTTAGCAGCAAAGAAAGAGCTAGCAGAGAAAGGATCTTGGCTGATATCCCCGAATCAGCGATATCTATTCCAAGTGAAAATGCTAGCAGCTTGCCCACACAAATGCTTCCACCGTTCCCGCTGCCAGAAGAGATGAGACGGGTGTTGCGGTTTAGTAGTGGGAATCTTGGGGTCCCGTTGGGTTTTTTCAGTCTTTCCTTAGCACAAGCCAAAGCCACCTCCTCTTGCTCTTTTTCTAGCAAGAGTTGCAAGAGTTCATGTTTGTTGTATAAACAGAAAAACTAAAGGACAACTTGTCAAATGTTGGCTCTCCTTGTTCACTTCCTCCTGCTCCAGAACTCCCCGTACTGAGAATTTTTAAAACAAAGCTTTGAAAGTGCAAAACTGGTTTTCAAAGTATTTTTTTTAAAGCTGGCATTTCCTCTTTTAAAAGTGTATTCTCTAGCGCCATGTGTATTTACCTAAACATTTCTGCTTTTTTATGTTCTCTTTATAGCCATCTGCCTGTCTGGGTGTACTGAACAGAATGGATATTGCAACAAGCCTGGAGAGTGCATGTGAGTAGATGGCAATTGCAATCTGAACTTCAGTTAAAATGTCACCTTGTAATAGAAACTTAAACTCTTTTCCATGTCATTAATGTTTTAATTTGACTTTTCTTTTAGCTGTCGTCCCGGTTGGCAAGGCCGCTACTGCGATGAATGCATTCCTCATATAGGCTGCCGCCATGGGACTTGTAAAACACAATGGCAGTGCATATGTGATGAAGGATGGGGTGGCCTCTTCTGTGATCAAGGTTAGTTCGGAAGGTTGTGCTCATGACGCTAGATTGGGTATTCCTCAGTACTGGACTAAGGAATCTGACCCATCGGATCTAGCATTGGATTTCCGCGGAGTACATGTTCATAGGCATTGGTTTGTACCATAGCTGTCTTACCCACCAATATTTGCAGTAATTTTGGTTGAAAACAAGCAAACCATTTTGGTACTTGCTGATTTTCTCCTGGAAAAAAAAACAAACCACAACAAACCAACAACCTGGATGAGTGTTGAACAGGCAAGTTTTTTGCCTGCTCAAGCTAAGTTTAACTTATTCCCTGTACAACTATAACAATTTACTAAACAGTTTCCAGCAGCAGTAAACACCGTCATTTGGGCCTTCCTTATTTTGCATACAAGGAAGTTAACTCATGTGATAAGTCTGGAGCATGAGAGAAAAATCATGTAAGCAAGAATGAAAAGTACAGGTTCCATTTTAAGGTACACCAGACCACTTCCACCTATTCAACCCATTGAATCACTGAACTGTAGCCAGCTGAGCAGTCATGTCCTCAAGGCCATATATGCACTGCTGGCACTGAGATCATTAAGTCCTCAAAGCAAGCTAAGTGTTTTCAAGATAGTTATAGGATTAAGATGGCAAAGTCTGAATTAAGCAGGAAAAGTGAAGTTGCAGATTTTTTTTTCTGCTCGTAGTTATTTATTAACCAGTTGTATTCCAATTACTCTATGGTATTTATAGAGATAATAAAAATTTTCTATGTATGTCCTATGAACTTGTGTGCTTAACCTCTGTCTCAAATTTGAAGGAAAAAAAGGACCGTCAAGCTTGGTGGAGCATTTAGAGAGTTTAAACTACTAACATTCATAACAAGAGAGCATGGTAAATAAACAATAAAAGATTTCTAGTGTTTGTTTAAATCTCCAAGCCAAAAACATTTCCTCCCTGCCTCCCCTTGGCAGCACACTTTTTAAAGGTGGGGCTAACTGTTTTAGTATGTGACGTGTTGCGCACAAAGCGTCTATAATGCCGTGTCTTTCGGAGAACACACACTTGCGAACTATGTTTTCCAACTTGGCATCTAAATCCCATTGCAGCTAATCGGTTTATGCACACAGAAAAGGGAGAGTATACCAAAGTACTAAGAAAGTTAAATTTTTGCCAGGTCCCTCAAAATTCAGAGCCCATGTATTAAAGTGATGGATGTAGAGAAATATCTAAAATCAATCATAATCTGAAACAGCTGATCATTACTGATAATAACCTGCATAATCATCTCCAGTATTCCTTTTGATAGTAAAATGAAAGACTTCATTGAAAAAAATCTGTCTTTTTTGTTGACTAAAGCATTTTTGTATGAATGTCTTTTCCCAGCTGTCAAAGACTTTTTCTCTAACCTCTGGTACCTTTGCAGATCTGAACTACTGCACTCACCACAGACCATGCAAAAACGGAGCAACTTGTATGAACACTGGCCAGGGCAGCTATACTTGTTCATGCAAACCTGGCTTTACTGGTGTTGACTGCGAACATGAGATCAGCGAGTGTGACAGCAATCCCTGTAGGAATGGCGGTAGTTGCACGGTAAGGGCATTTTAAATGTAAAGCCTTTGTGTGAAGCAAGCCCCAGTATACCTTTTCAGTAATGGTTCTGTAACCACATAATGGGAATTCGATAGTGCACAGGTTCATTACTGACGCTCACAACTATCATACTGAAGCCTTCCCGAGAGGTGTCAGGGGAGGAAGTCTGTTACAGGAGGAGATGTATCATCTAGATTAGAACTAGTCAACTGATCCTTAGGTTTCTGTGGCAGCCATTATGAGAGCTTGGCAAGATCCAAGTTTGGTGAGGGAGCAGATCTGTAAACAATAAGCTTCTCAAACCAAGGTTCATAGAGAGATGCGCTAGGTCTGTATTTTAATAGCAACTAAAAGAAAATTTCTGCTTCCTGCTTTGGGAGCGTAGTGTCAGACAATATGAGGGCAATCGTCTAAAACACTTTCTGTGACACAGGGTTTTGCATGTTTAGTTTCCTGCAGTCTAGTGTTTCAAGTGTGTTTTCAGACCCAGTCAATGATTGATTCTACCTGTTGATAAAGACTGATCGATTATAGATATCAAATGTAATCTGATGCACACTTCGATTAAAACTATTGGCACAAGACCCTAGCTCCCTTCTCTCAGGGCTTTGGACGTGGAAAGAAGAAAGTTTTGTTGTGATCTAAGTGGTGGGACTTATCCATAGCAAAGTAAATGGCCTGATCACAGCTGTGTAGGTAAGCCCATGCCATTCTGCTCTGGGAGGACCTCGAGGATCCCATTAGACAGTAGTGGCATTATAAATGTTTTTGTCTAGCTGCCTGTAGGCTCCCTACAACTGCATCTGCTCTGCTTGTGTAGTCACATGATTACTTCCACATGCTGAGTACAGCCGATTCACAGCTCTATCCCTGTGCAGTTATTTACTCTCCAAATGTTGCTTTTGCCACATCAGAACATGGATGAGAAGGGACTGAAGAGCACTCGCTGCCGACCAGAAATAAGCGTGCAAGCAGCTATCATTTGGTGCCATCAAATAACAGTGGCCTAATGTTGTGTTTTGCAGGATATGGAGAATGGTTACCACTGCCTGTGCCCCCCTGGCTACTATGGCACTCACTGTGAGCACAGCGCTTTGACGTGTATAGATTCTCCGTGCTTTAACGGTGGCACATGCTTGGAAAAAGAACAAGGGGCCAGCTACAGTTGCGTTTGCCCTTTTGGCTTCACAGGGTCAAACTGTGAAAAAAAAGTAGACAGGTGCACAAGCAACCCGTGTGCAAATGGTGAGTTTTTTTATCAAAAAACCTCATGTCTCTGACTCGTTTGTGCTTTTCAGTGCAGAAGTGATAGAAATCCAATCTGACCTCTACTCTTCCTCTAATACATTAGTCCCTCTCCCCCGCTGTATTCCACATCTACCCTAAGTTTAGTCTCTTGCTGGGGGGGGCTTTCAGTGGCATTTTCTATGCAACAAACCAATGCAGGTTTATCATGTGATGGAGAAGATGGCAGAATTAAGTAAATTAAATTAAATTAACTTTATTATATATTTAGAAGAGGCACCTTTTTAAGGCATGGTGATACAATCAGGTAAACTAGAAGGAACCTTTAGACGTGCAGCTGTTTTGTAAAATAACCTCCTCCTTCTTGAGATAGTACAAAATGCTAACCAGGGAGAGGTTTAGGTTTCCGAGTGAAGTGCATTGCGGACTAATTTTTTTTTTTTTTTTCCGCAGATGGTAATTGCTTTTACCTTGGTCAGATTCGTGTGTGTCGTTGTCGGGCTGGTTTCTCTGGTCAGAAATGTGAGATAAACATCAATGATTGTGCCAGGAACCCATGTTCCAATGGGGGAACTTGTCATGACCTAATCAACGATTACACCTGCACATGCTTGCCAGGCTACAGTGGCAGGAACTGTGACATCAAAACCAGAGATGAATGTGCTTCTGGGCCATGTGAGAATGGAGGCACATGCTACAGCGGACTTTATAGTGCCAACTTTGTCTGCTACTGTCCTTCTGGCTTCATGGGCAACCGTTGCGAATTGCCAGTTTATTCAGTGCCGGTTACACTTCCTCCTAAACCAGTTCCCTGGATCGCTATATCCATGGGAGTGGGGCTGGTGGCTTTGCTCATACTGTTCTGCATGATAGCAATGGTCATCAGGCAGATGAGGATGCACCCAGAGCAGGACTTGGAGACAATGAACAACCTGTCTGACTTCCAGAAGGACAATCTCATTCCAGCTTCCCAGCTCAAAAACACCAATAAAAATAAAGACCTCGAAGTGGACTGTGGGCTGGAGAAATCAAACTACAAACCCAAGAATCATAAACTGGACTACAATCTGGTAAAAGACCTGACAAGTAGAGGGACACAGGAAGATAAATATTACAAGAGTGAAAAATGTTTAGGAGAAAAGTCTCCCCTCCGACTACACAGGTGAGAATGCAGTCTTCCTTCTAGTCTTTCTTAAGGTCCCTCATCTTCATACCAGTCTAGAAGCAGATGAGAAAATACTGGGAAAAAGAAGCTTTGAGGAGATAATATACAAAACAAACCAGATCAAAGCCAGGAATCTTCATACTGGAGTATGTGTGTCACAGCCAAGTGGTAGCCTTAGCTAAGTCAATTAAATCGAGTGTTTGTGCAGGGTGCTGCTGGTGTGGGTGCTGTGAAGGGGAACAGGAGTGGCTAGGTCAGTAGCGAAAGTAAGAAGTGTCTTTCCTTCCTCAACAGATCTTGGAGGAATAATAGTTAAGGCACATAATGATTAAAAATAAGTATTTCACTTATTAAGAAGAAGGCAAAATGATCTGCTTACTGAGAGGAATGATAGATTATAAATAACTACTTTTTCAAGAAAAGAAAAGGGCAGGTATTCACTGGCTCATCAGTCTTCTGATACATGTACTGAAAGTCTCATCTGGGATCTGCTTGTGGCTGTTTCCCTGAGGGATCTGAGGAACATGCTATTAAGCTGGACATGGCAGAAGCATAGGAAGACAATAGGCCATTCCTTACTTCCGCTTTTCTAGTGGAAAAATGTCCTGCCATCATATAGAACATGTGAAACTTCATCCTCTGCATTTCCTTCCCACACCTCCACAGCTATCTCATTCCACCCCTCCATATTCATGGTAGATTTTGAGAGTCAGGCTTGTTATGTTAGTCAACTAACATTCTTTTCTCTCTGCCCTGCCTTAGTGAAAAGCCAGAATGTAGGATATCAGCGATATGCTCTCCAAGGGATTCAATGTACCAGTCCGTCTTTGTGATAACAGAAGAAAGGAATGAGTGCATCATAGCCACAGAGGTAAGTAAGTACGCATGTGGATGGGCATAAATTCACAAAGTAAAGGGCTAAATTATCCTTTAGAATTGCATCTGAGAAGGTTACTCTATGTCCAGGGATCCCGGATGCTTCCCAGCATTCACCTCTCCTCTTCTGTGTCCCACACCGAACATACAGTAGGGAAAATAAAGAAATTAGCTGCTCTGACTTTGTTAAACCAGAGATTTTGAGCTTAGATAAGTCAGTGGGAGATGAAAGCACAGAACATCAGCCCATAAAAATTCAGTACATGGTAGGACTATTTCCTCTTAAATAGGTAGTCAACAAAAATGGAAATAATCGTTCATAGGCCCATTGATGTAAAGCCACGTTTTTTTCCCATGACTACAATGGATAATCCGTGTTCTGTGGAAACAGGCAAAGCTATAGATTTCCAGCAGAAGATGTAAGGTAGCTGAATGTGTTAGTGGATAGGCATAACAGCCATTTAGGAAATCTGTAATAAGGCAATTTCAATCTCTTGGCGTTTAAACTCCAGCTATATATTCTCTAACAGAAGTTAACGCAGTCATTGATAAACACATCTAGATTCTGTTATTATATTGAAAAGTCAGAGGACAGATAGATGAAAAAGGAAGGGCCTAGCATTGAACTAAAGATTATAAAAAGCAGCTATTGAGGATCCAACCAGTTCCTGAAGAATTACTGACCCTTTGGAAAAAGGCTAGGTGGAAGTTAAAGGCAATTTGACATTAAGCAATACCTGCCTTCTTCAGTGTAGCCGTCTTTAGGACTAGTTTCAGACTCTGGGAAAGACTAAGTGTGCTGTGCCACATAGCAATGATCTGTGAAGTCAGATCTGCAGGATTCTGTCTCCCTTGCCAGTGTGGATATCAAATTGCCTCTTGAAGGCAAGCTGGAACACAAGTCACCCAACAATATTAAAAGTTTAAGTGAAAGGATTTTCAAAGGTACACATGACAGCTAGACGCTTCGTACCATATCTTCCTTTGAAGATCTTGCTGACCAAAGCTAGACTACCAGATTGACTTCAGGCATCTTCAGAAGTATTTTTCTTTTCAGAATGACAGTCCCTGAAACCTCTCTCCACATCATTCAGGCTTAATGCTTCTGAACACAAGTTATTTAACTATGCCATTTGCTTTTTACAGACTCGTAATGTTAAGCACCCAGATTTGTAAGCATTCTTCCCCTCAGGCCAGGTAGAGAGGCTACTCATCATACAGCCAACTTTTTTTTTTTTTTTTGTGCTGGTGATTCTTCGTCTCTGGACCCAGCCAAAACCATTGAACACTGATAGTTGAACTGCAGCAATTTCTGGCTTAAATTGTTTTGGTTTGACATACTTGAATTACAATTTGTTGGTTGTGCAGTACTCTGTATGCTGTGCTTCTTTCTCATTCCTGGTATTATTTTATATCCTGACAGGTATAAGACTGAAGATCAGCCCATTTGCACCTCAGATTTGGTAATGCCAGTAGATGGACGTTCCTGCTGCATTGTTTACAATTCAGAACTGGATTGGACTGTTTTTAAATACACGCAACTTGCTGCTCTCAGGCGGAGGATGGAACTGGGTGAACTGGACAGACTGTGAATTTACTGAAAGATGCAATACGCCTTTTTGTTCTTACTGCCCTTGTTTGAAGTTTGATACCAGAAATCTCATTCGCTGTAGAAGAAGGGAGGCAGAGGGAAGAGAGAGGGGTTAAAAATGTTGTTGTTTTAATTTGTTTTTAAAAGATACCGAGGCCAGTTCCTCATGGACAGACCCCTGGCTTTCCAGAACTCTGGTTATGGGAGGTGCCGGTAGATGAGGAGGCACTTAGCTATCACAGATGTTGCCATGGAAGGTGTGTAGAAAGACACATTGCTATGCAGATAATGGATACAGTATAAACGAGGTCTCCATTTTTTTTTCTGGGTTTAAAAGTGCCTAAAATGTGTCAAGAGAATCTAACAAGCCCAAACAGAGACTTGACTGCTCTTCTTGCAGTTACCTGAACAGTATTGGGCAGGGGTGGCTGATACTTCCTGCTACGCATCTATGTGCGTCTCCTCTCTCCTGCTGCATGTACTGGAGATGGTGTAAGGGGCAAGAGGAGGAAGGAAAGAGGAATACTGAATTTACATGTCATCTCATTTGGTGATGCTTTGGAGAACTGATTGACCTAAGCCACAATATGGGACAGGATTTTTGTGGATTTAAACATTCGAGAAGGAAAAATTGTGATAAGCAATATGTGTACTGCCTCTTCCCCATTGATAAGGAGGAGGAGTGATCCCAGCTCTATTTAAAGCCTTACAAATGCGTTTAAAATCAATCAGCTCCTAGAACCTTTATGTCCTGAGCTGTCTCAGCTCTTTTCATGCCCTTTGCACTACCAGTGATTGTGAATAGACATTACTTTTTTCTTCTCTTTCCTCATTCTCTCCCCCTTCCCCATCTTACTTTGACACAAATTCGGGGGTTTATGTCGTGTTCTGAATTAGGTGCCACCTTCTACTGCAAATAGTCTCAAAAATGCAGCTGTTACTTTCTGAAGGAGAAGAAGCAGTGTGACACCACCACCACCACCCCAAAACCCCCCCCCATTCCTCCATCTGGTTGCAAAACTCCAACTCCTGTCTTTCATCCCGGTTCCAAACATCCAATAGCGAAGTACCCACTGAGACACCCTCTGCCAAGACAGGTGGAGACTAGAGTTAGAAGGTTCAAGCCTTATCCTGTTTCTTTCATACCCACGGAAAAGGGGAAGCCTGCCCCTGGAAACTAGAGGCGTGCAGAAGCTCTTTTCTTATATCCACATTTACAGCAATAACACCGGACGCCGCAGTGGAAAGTGCCGTGACACTAATGAGATGAGACCATGAGGTGGAACAGAATGAGGAGGGAGGAAACAAGATCTCTTCAAAGAAACCTGGACCGTGCTATCTCTTGGACAGCGATATTCCTGCCCTTGTAAATCCTGTTGTCGGACTAGCCCATCTACTGCCTTGAACTGTGCAGACAAGACCCCTTCATAATGTCCACTACTGACCTTCTGCTCTGACCACATAGGACCATTTTGAAGATGACCTTCAGAAATCAATAATATGGGTTTTAGTTTGTTTGTAGTTTATTTTGAAGACTAGTATTTCAGTAATTTAAAAAAAAATCAGAAGCACTGAACTTTCTACGTTTTATAACATTATTTTGTATATAATGTATATTTATAATCAAAACAGAAGTGTAAATATGTTTATTACTGCTCATGTAATGTTTTTAATGTGATGACAAAGTTTGAATTTTATTTTTTTTTTCAAGCAATGAAAATACTTTCCTGTTACTATGAAGTTTATTGTGGTTTGTCCTTTTACAGTTCAGGTTCCACGGCTCTGTGACAGCCAAGGTTCCTTGAAGCCCCAGAAGTAAGCTTGTCTGCCTGCTCCCTGCAGTCAGCCCTGCATTTACATTTTGCACACCAACTGCCGTCGGCTGCTTTTTATAAAACGGTGATACTGTTAACTGATGTCAACAAAGTTGTTCAGCTGAGTGGCATTCATCTGACAGAAAAGTTATACATATTTATATTGTGATATATAATATAATATTTAAATTATATGTGTACATACATATAATGACTGAACTGTCAGGAAAGTTATTTTTATTAACGTTTCACTCTTCCTCTTCCATGACAACTTGCGGCATGGCAGATACAGATTTAACACCGTTTCAAAGTGGCTTAATAAATGTGCTGGCTTGGGGTTCACTTGCAGAGCAAGATATGATTACTAAATTTTTTTAAATCCCATTTCTTTAAATACTTTCAGTAAGCTCCAAATCTCACCCTCAGGTTACTCTTGCACAGCATCTACATCTACACCTGCAAGACGATACCCTTGTTTGTTTGACTGCAATGGGTAAGATTTGTCTTTCACTTGTGGGATTAGGGGAAGATTCAGACTTTCTCCTCCCAAGTTCCCTACGCTACACCAGCAGCCAGGTCCTCCCAGGGCATCACAAAGTCATTATCCTCCAAAGCCCTTTTGGAGGACATTTCCACCAAAAAAAAAAAAAAAGTGTAAAAAGCACACTTGTATAAAACACTCCCAGCAGGTTTAGTAGCCTTTGAAGCACATACATTTACAGACAATTATCTCTCGCTAGATCAGCTAGGTGCAATACAGCCAACATCTGAATGCACAAAAGCAAAAACTATAAGAACAGGAAACCACTGCTGCTCTATTTTAAAACCAGACTTTTTTTGTCGTTGTTGTTGACAAAATGCCAAAAAAGCATCTTAGTGTTGGATGTCTTTCCTATCCTTCCCCCAAGTAAAATCTAACCAGAATTTGCTAGGGTTTTTTTTTTTTTAATATGATACAAAAAACACCCGCTGGGGTTATAAAAGCACCATAACAAATTATTTTCACTTTGTCATTAAAATACTGCAAATAATGGTTTATAAAGGTCCTTCTGAGTGTATTATTGAGGTTACATAAATACTATTTACTTTGGATGGTTTTGTTTCTCCCTCTTCAGTTCTTTTCTTAGCAAAATATTAACTTTCAAACCCCAGCCAATTTCCCTGGCTACCATAAAAATAAATTTAAGATGAAACTCAGAAATAAAAAGCCACCTCCCCCTCCCCAAACATTCACCCTGTAGAGCAAATTATGAAAAACAAGCCATTGACAAAAAGCCGAGCAGATGCTCCCTGCTTGCAGTCCTTCCTCGGCAATGTGAAATAAACCCAACAGATGCCTCTCTTAATTGAGCACATGGATTACATACACACATGCACTCTGTCCTGCTTAAAACAAAACACACACAAAAATCAAACAGGAAAATAGCCAGAGAACTCTTCCCAAAGCCTGGGCAAGCAGGA